TTTCTCCTCTGTTCTCTTCTGCTGTCTTTTCTTCAGAATTGTTCTTCTTTTGTCTCCTGTTCTCTTATCTTTTCTCTTCTATTCTTCTGTCCATAGAGCTGTTCTGCTCTTCTCTTCTCTTCTCTTCTCTTCTCTCTTCTGCACTCTATGACCCTCCTCACTGCAGGCTTCCTTAACTGCAGACAACTGAACAAGATCGCAACAAATGATTTCTCTCCTTCCTTCTTTCTCTCTTCCTCCCTCCCTCCTTCCTTTATATCTGAATCTCTCTCTCTCTCTCTCTTTCTCTCTCTCTCTCAATTAGTGCTTTCCTTGACGTCCGCCGCTCCTTCTCTTTCCCTCTCTTTCTCTTATTTATGGTGCGTATAAAAAGAAAGTGAACAGTGGGGGAGTGAGCTGACGGCCTGTTTGCAGCCTCGCAGTGGCTGCGCTCCCAAACAACACGCCTTTGATTCGGGCCAGTTTCGGGGAAAAGCTTTGAAGCATATGGCGCCGAGTGCAGCCTTGGGAGACACATGTTCCAAATCCGCTGGAGCTGCCTGCTCATGCTCAGCTGAAGGGCCGCTCTGACTGCAGTTAGTGTCCGCTGACTCACCGCACGGCCCAGAAATGCGGCACATGTTTTTAGGGGTTGTGGAATGCAGACCAGTGGCCACCTGCACAAAACATCTCCAGCCATATCACAGAAAAGTTTTACTAACATAAAGAGAAACTGAAGTGTTTAGTGTAGTTTGTAAACACTGATAAGGTTTCACGGTTCACTCTCCAGTCCATACAGTCTGTATATGCAAACTAAGCTGAAAAAACAGCTTTGTTTTTGTGATGTCACAAAAAACAGCTAATTTACACAAAGCATGCGCTCCTGTTCAGCCTACTGCAGTTTAGCTCCTCCCATTCACAAATAAGGTATAGGGCATATTTCAGCCTGGATTGCCAGGGCAGCCAATCAGAACAAAGCTCATTTACATACTTTACTGTGCAGAAGTCTTAGGCACCTAAACACGTTGTTTGAAACCAGTAATCTTGGCAGTGAGTGTGTTTTACTTGTAAAATCATCATATATCATTAGAATAGCTGCAAATGAACACAAATACAGTGAAAAGTAACAAGAATTTCTTATAAAAAAAGTAATTATCTTGTCAGCAAGTTTGAAGAACAAAGTTTGGCTCCAGGTTTGTTAAATTCCATTGCCAGCATACTTTATTGAACTTGATGAATTATTGATTAACCTAATGAAGTATTGGATAATAACTACTAAGAATACTGGGCTTCCATTTTATATTTATATTATTTGTATTTATTCTAATTTTAGTGTTTTGCTCATCAAACTGACCAATTAAATAGCTTTAAATACCTTCAAATGAAGTAATTAATTCTAATTGATTATCATTGCACAGTACTGCATGCCTGTCTTAAAGGCACAACAACAGAAACAGATGTGTTGTTAATATTCTGCACTCTCAGAAATAAAGGTAGTAAACAATCACTGGGGCAGTATCCCTCTTATCCCTTCAAGGGTAAATCTCAGGACCTTTAGTCGAGTTGTATTTACTCCACACACCCCGTCTCGTCTCCAGGCTCTTCATTTTACTGTTCTGTTTTAAAACATTTGGTTATGAAAAGGTACAAATATGAACTTTTTACCTGGAAAAAAGCTTATTTAAGGTCACAATTGGACCCTAAAGCCACTGTTGTACCTTTGAGGGAACATTTACATTGTTTGTACCTTGATGAACAAAAAATGTACCTGAACAGAACCTTTATTTCTAACAGTGTAGGTGAAAATAAGTTAACACATCCTCTACAGGGAACTTAAATATGGCGTTTTTTCTGCAAATCTTTGTGCACAGCTTCTATTTATTGGCTGAGTTTAAACATATTGGAAAGACCAAAACATAAAATGTGCCTTAACTTTTGCACAGTCCACATTTTAAGTTCCCCAAGAAGGTAAAATCGCCAAATAGACAGTTACTGTGCATTAAAATGTGCAGACGTACACACTTAAAAAGGTGGTTCTTCAAGGGTTCTTTCTCTAAAGAATATGGTTCTATATAGGACCATGAACACTTAAAGAACTCTTTATGTAATTAGAGGCTTCTTTGCGTCATGAAAGCGTTTGTCAGGTTGATGGAGAATGTGCTGTAGATGGTTCTATATAGAACCTTTTTGATAAAGGTTCTGTATAGCACCAAAAAAGGGTTTTTCTATTGTAACAAGCTTGACATCATAACAATAGAAGAACCTTTTTGGTGCCATAAGGAACCCTTTTTAAAAAGATTCTATATAGAACCATCTACAGCACATTCTCCATCGGTCTGAAGAACGCTTTCACGATGCAAAGCTTTAACACACAGATTCCCCTCAATTTACTTTACTTGAATGGTATTAAAAATGAATGTCGACGTGCTTTGGAACTTCAGTTCACCTCAAAGTGACTCGCTGCAACAAAAAAACAAGCTAAAACAACTGAAAGTTAGCCTAGAGCAGCTAAGTTCACTCTAACCTGGAGAGAAAGTTCCTCTGGTCCTCGTCTGGCTTTACGTTGAATTATGACGCCGCTGTAATGACGGAAAATGCCTTGTTTTTAATGTGGAAAGCAGGTAGACACAGCTTTGGAAATCACTTGCAGTCTGAAGTTATTCGTTATTAGCATGCAAGTCGCCCCAAATCTGTGGCAGCAGAATTTAATGAATGCACATGTTTGCAGTAACATTTATTATAATGACAGATGAAGTAGTTCTCAAAAGCTGCTGGGTTGCTCAGTAGAATATTGTTTAATATGTGAGTTTTATTAAAGATTTTCATTAAAACAGTTAATATTAGAAGCATGTAGACTAAAATAGAGTAGAATGTAGGTCAAAGCTGCCGTGGACCGCATATGTTTTTTTGTTTGAGGGCGCATTATCGATTATTGTGATTTTTCAGCTAGAAAATACTGTGCTAATTATTTTTCGCCTGGGCCTACTCACTACTACTCACTACTACTACTGTGGTGAGTAGTGAACTCACTTCTACTGTACTAGTGTGAACACAGCAGTTCTCACGGAGCAGGCCCGGATCATCCAATGGGTTTCATGGGCCCAAGCTACTAGGAGGCCCACACTAGCAACAATCTAATCTAATCTAAACAGCTGTTTTGACCCATGGTGGGAAATTTACCACAGTGGAAGAAAATTAATTTGTCATCGCATTACATCCAATCATAGTCCTGACACTCTCCACAGCTGCTCTCTCTCAACATCTGCTTCAATTTATCCATCAATCACTGCTTGGTAACCGTTACGCCATGTGCCGTTGCGCCGGTCAAGCTGTCAGGTTTTTAGCAGTGAGCTAGTGTTCCTCTCAATGTACTTCGAATTTGAAACTCTGGATATTCAAAAGGATGCAGAAAGGGGATCTGTAAAAGCGAGACCTGATACCTCGGCAGAGTAGAGGATGCCTGAAGCCAAATCTAAACTGTCCATCTGAGAAAAAAATTAATTGATTCTTGTCAGCAGTGATCTGTGAACTGTCATTAAAGGTAAGATATAAATGAAAATAAACCTTTACACAATATACATCAGCTTAGGATGCTTGATGGTTTGGGTTTCTGTTGGAGGCGTCCATTCAGATTGAGTCGCTAACCAGTATAGTCTACGAGATTAAACTCAGAGTCGGGTTGAAAAATTACATGTTTGATACACTCTGACTGGTCTGAAACTTAATTAGGAGGCAAAGAATCTGAGTCTGCGCCCCTCACACACTGACCTACAACTGACCCAAAATCTGCAGACTACAGCCAACCAGCACCAAATCTAAAATGGCAGTAATAGTTGTGTAGTGTAATCCTGGCATTAAAGACTCGAGGTGCAGCAGAGAAAGTCTCTAACTGGTTCCGTGTGCGGAACTAGTGTGTTTGAAGTGGTTACCACAGCCTAGAAAAGGCCTAGAATTAACTTCACTCCTGCTCCCAAAAGTTACGCCAGTTCTACTAAAAATTCAGTTTACGATCAGTTAGTGCAGCAGCCTGAAAGTTACACCCAGAAAGGTACCACTGACTTAAAACCAGGCGTAGTCCTGTTATTTAAAATGGATTACCCCACCATTCAGCTACATGAGTTTTGTCCATTTTTGTAGCTCACAGTAAGTCGTCACAGTAACTAGACCACATCACCAAGTCTGCACACCCTTAATCAAAGGCTCGATGTGGTTTGAGCGGGATGAGAGAACTTTTGGAGACGTATTTACAAAAAAGATTTGGGTGACTATTGAATTCTAGAGTATGTGAGCTACTTTAGCCCCAGTGCTAAACTAAATAAGCAGAATTTGGACGTCACACATTCTTTGCCTGATGCACATCTGGGCTAAGTGGAAAATGATGCAAATTAGATTTTTCACCAAACCATTCCTTTAATGAAAACATTGAGATTTAGGCGTGGAGCTCACACAGAAGTACACAAGAAAGAAGATGGAATAAAGGTAGAATAAATAGATAAGAATAATAGTAATTAAAACAGAAAAAGATAAGAAAGAATCTACCGACCCTGCAGGTACAAACTTGCGCTTGATAAAATGTATCGCTGTTGTCAGTTTTTCAGTTTTTGACATAATTTGAAAATGCCTGTTGCTCTTTACATTGTGTGTAAATTTCATGATGAATGGACCAAAAGAAACGGCCCAAAATGACTTGGAAAAAAAGTCTGGTTCCATTGATTTACATTAAAAGTAAGGCATGTTTTTTCCTTCTCATGTAAAGTTACCATTTTGGAGACATGAGGTTTTGTTCTGACAGCAGCGATATGCATATGTATGTATGTGCTTATGTGCGTGAGTGTTTTGGAAGAATTTGTGTGAAAAAACCACGAACATCCATTTTGAGTCCATGAGTCTGTTTTATGTCTTCGTAGTCTGTGTGAAGCCAGAATGACACTGTAAATCCTGTACATTTCTGCTATTTACAGTGGAATTGTGCCGCAGCAGTTTGCCCTCATTTGACTTGCCTTGTGTGTATGTGTGCGCAGCACGTGGGCTGTGATAAAATCCTTGGCTCAGACGTGCGAGAGGACCGCTGCCGTGTGTGTGGGGGGGACGGGAGCAGCTGTGAGGCCATTGAGGGCGTCTTCAACGACTCACTGCCTGAAGGAGGTACGAACTGTGTGTGTGTGTGTGTGTGTGTGTGTGTGTGTGTGTGTGTGTGTGTGAGTGTGTTTAAACTCTAAGGGTCTGTATGTAGACACTCCTCACCCTTGTAACTACAGAACTTGCACATTAGTTTCATAGTAGTTACTGAGTAACTCAAAGTAGTTGCTGAATAATTAATGGCAGTTAATAAACAATTCATACCTGTTACTATTTTGTAGTAGATACTGAATAATTCATAGTATTTGCTGAATAAGTAATGGTAGTTATTAATAGTATAGTTAATAGTGATAGTATATAGTAATAGTAATAGTATATAGTAATTAATAGTATAGTAGTTAATCATAGCTGTTACTAATCAATGTTGTTTATTGAATAATTCACAGTAGTTTCTGAATAATTTATCACTACTGCATTTGTATTAGATACTGAATAATTCATTATAGATACTGAATTTGAATCTGCTATGAATAATTCATATTAGTTACTGTTAGTTATGAGGCTGATGTTCATATCCTACCAACTGATTCATTGCTACTATTCAGTTTAGCAGTTCTAAACTCACAACACCGCTGACAAACTTTACAGTTAGGCCTATTTTGGTCATGAGTTTTTAGCTGAGTATTAACTCCCGTATAAATAATTGTAATATTTTTGTTCACTGTATGCAGCTATTAAAGTTGAAGCCTTAAGTGGCCAAATTGGCTGATTATCTATCTCACCTGCTAACTGTCTATACTTAGTAGCTCCCAGCTGATAAGAAACACTACTTAAGCTCAAATTAAACAAAAATTACTCCCAGCCCCCAACTAAAGATGTTATAACACCAGATAGAGGTTTATAGAGTTTTATTGTTTTCATAAGACCCTGACATGTCTTAATGAATATTTTCTGCTTTATTTCATTAAAATTGTTTGATCCCAACTTATGAAAACATAGCCAGTTTATATTCCGTTTGTTGCGAAGTAAACATATGATATTGAAAGCAGACAACTGTGGAAAATCATTGCAGGCAGCTCAAATAATTGCAAGCATGCAATTATGTAATAATTGTAACATGCTTATTTCCAGTATGTCGCAACATCGGGTGGGGTATTTTGTAAATCAGGTGCTCAATATCGCAGGGGTTTAGAGGGTGGAGTGATATTTTGCCCGTTTCCTAAACCTAAGGCACAAAAGGGGAAGTGGGTTTAGGATTTAACGGTGGGGAAACTGTGTTACCAGTTAAACCTGCTAAAAAATCACACATATATCTGCCCTAAGGTGTCTGATTTAGCTAACTGCAAAGTCTGGAAAGCAAAGTCTTTCTTAAAGCTAACATATCGCTATTGTCAGAACAAAACCTCGTATCTCCAAAACAATAACTTTACAGGAGAAGGAAAAAACCTACTTTACTTTTCATGTAAGTCAATGGAACCAGAGTTTTTTCAAGTAATTTTGAGCCGTTTCTTTTGGTCCAATCTTCGTGAAATTCACATTCAATGTAAAGGACAACAGGCGTTTTCAAATGATGTCAAAAACAGAAAAATGACAAAAATGGAGATACGAGGTTTTGTTCCAACAGCACTGATATTTAGTATAATATATAGCAAAATTAATTACATTAGTATTAAACCATAAGTAGAAAACCCTTTCATGGCTAGTTTGACTAACACTGACTAACAAGTTTTTGACACAACTTTAACTCATTTAAGCCCACCGGCATCTGAAGTGTTCATCCTTCTAGCACTATTAGGTCGCTGAGAGATCAGGAGGGTATGTGTTAAGCCTATATTGCTCCAAAATGCTAAGAGGTTTGTAGAAAAAATTCTGCCCCTGTGGTAACACTTTCTATGAATGTCACCTTTGTAAGCATCTATAAACACATTCATAACATGTTATAATGCATTCATAAGACATTATAAACATAGCTATAAATATTTATAAAAACGCATTATACGTTATAGCCATGTTTATTATGCATTATGAATTGTTAACATAATACATTATAAGTACTGATCATAACAAGTTATAAGAGCTCATAAGTCGTATTTGTCCGCTCTAAGTAAAGTGAAGCGTACTGTACTAAAGCCTCCTCCAGTGTTAAGAGTGAGGCTTCAAGCTGAAGTATTTACTGAAGGATTTACTGAAACACTGAAACATTCACAATAAAGCACATTACAGGCTTCAAATGTCAGAGTTTAAACTAGAGCTGCCATCAGTGTTTTACCCAGTGTGGGAAAGGTAATGTACACCACTGTTAGCTTGGTATTTGTTTTTACTTTACACTCTCCAAGCTGGGACTGACTTCTTTGGCACTGAAATTATAACATGTTATTAACACTATTTATAATGCATTATATTAACAATTCATAATGTATAATAAACATGCCTATAAAGTGTAATTCAGTGTAATTCTTTTTTATAAATATTTATAACCACGTTTATAATGCCTTATGAATACATTATAACATGTTATAAATGTGCTTATAGATGCTTACAAATGCGACATTCATAGAAAGTGTTACCCCCCCTGTGATTAAAAACTCAAAAGCTTGCCAGATGTAGCAAGAGTAAACCACTAGGGGTGGGGCTTTTGCACAGGGTCTCAAACTGTGTATGTTATGTAATCTCTAATAAACTTGCCTATTTGGTTCCTGACACTGTTTGACACACTGTTAATATACTACTATTCTATAGTCATCTACAGTTGGCTGATTGGCTGAGTTTGAGGTAAGTTGTGGAAAACTGAGCTCATATTTTGGCCAAACCATCACTTTAAGATTAACAACCGAATAATAAGCTTAGGGTTCAATGGGTTAACGTGTGTGCGTCTGTATGTTGGAACGGTAGGTATCGAAATACGCTTCCTTTTATTTATGGAGCACATTGCTTAAATACCATTTTTCCACCTCTGCAGATCCATTTCGCCTGGCATTCCTCTAAGGCTTTAAATAAGCAGTTGTAGAAATGTCAAGTAAGGCGGTGAAATACGGTTCTTTGAATTATGAAATAATACTGTTCGCCTAATTATAGGCATGGAGGCGCTGTGGATTTACAGTAGGTGTCAGAATACGATCGCTGGGCGTTAAAGCACTTTTCAGCAAAGCAGCGCTGCCTTTCTTTTCATCTGGGAGTCGACGTGTAAGAGTGCGGAGCTCCAGTTCCTGGAACTGCGCTGGAGGTTTTAAATTCTGCTCGCTGGCCCTGTGAACAAGTGTGTTGTGTTACGGGTCTCCAGACTTTAGCGCTTGGGTGATAAAGTGCAATAGCTCTGACTGTACAGAACAATGGCCCAGTTCAGCTCCTGTGGTCCGGTAGAAGTGAGTTTTAAGGACAGGTGCTGGATGTGATTCCTCTGCCTCTCGCAAACTACACTAACCTTCAATTCAGGCCTCAGGCCTCACATTGATGGACACCAGAGAAAAGCAGGACTAACCTACAGATGCGGGACTGACCTACAAAATGCTCCTGTCCTTCGTAAGGTGCTTTTAACAAAGGCTCCATGTTTTATTGTTGGAACTGAATGAGCAAAACCATTTCATGGTCGTTTCTGAGGCTAAGTTTAAGATTGTAGTTTTAAAAAAAATTATAGTTAGTTACTTCAGCTATATATTCAGCTGCTCATCCAGCGTTTTTTCTAAAGTCAAGGGTATTAACCCTCTGGGGTCTGAGGGCATTTTCTTGATTTGTGCATGTCTTCTTAAACTCTCCTTTAAAGGCTCTTCATATAACATGATCCTCATATGTTTCATATCAAAATGCTCCATTATCTTCATCACTACTTTCCAAAACCGCTGCAGCAACTTCAGCAGCTGTAAACTCTCTGCACGCCATTTCACATGAGTCTCCAATGTACACTGAATGAAGAATGAAGGGTTTCCGGCGTGATGGTCAGTCCTGAGTTTTTTCCGTGACCATTGGTCAGTTTCACACAGAATGTAGACACACGAATCCACCAGTTCCACACAGTGAGAGGCAGATGATGTGTATCTCAGCCCCTCTTTATAGGCTCATAACTCCGGATATGAGTCAAGTACGATCTTGTGATAAAATAAGACTCTACAGATTCAGGAAATGTTTGAACCGCATTTCTGTGTTGTGTTAATCCAAAGATAGAAACAGATTAGATTTGGTGTGTGGGTGGGTTTGTGGACCCCAGAGGGCTAATGGAATGTTTTTTCCCCACTTTGTTGCGGTAATAGCCTCTACTCTTCTCGGAAGGCTTTACACTAGATGTTGGAACATGCTTCATAAGGCTTTATAAAGCTCTCTACTCCATAAGCCTCTACAAATCTCTCTGTTCCATATGGTTTTATAAAGCTCTTTGCTCCATAAGGCTTTAAGATGCTCTCTGCTCCATAAGGCTCTGTAAAGCTCTTTGCTTCATAAGGCTTTATAAAGCTGTCTGCTCTATAAGGCTTTATAAACTCTCTGCTCCATAATGCTTTATAAAGCTCTGTGCTCCATTAGGCTTTATAAAGCTGTCTGCTCTATAAGGCTTTATAAACTCTCTGCTCCATAATGCTTTATAAAGCTCTGTGCTCCATTAGGCTTTATATGTCTGCTACATATGACTTTATAAAGCTTTGTGCTCCATAAGGCTTTATAAACCTCTCTGTTCGATAAGGCTTTATAAACCTCTATAAATCTTTATAAAAGGCTCTGTTCTATAGGGATTTATAAAGCTCTCTGCTCCAAAAGGTTTAAAGCTTTCTGCTCCTTAAGGTTTTATAAAGCTTTATAAGGCTTTATAAAAGGCTTTGTTCTGTAAGGATTTACAAAGGTCTCTGATCCATAAGGCTTTACGAAGCTCTCTGATCAATAAGGCTTTATAAAGCTCTCTGCTCCATAAGGTTTTGCCAAAGCTACAGCTTTATAAGGCCTTAATAAAGCTGTCTACTCTATAAGGCCTTAATAAAGCTGTCTACTCTATAAGGCCTTAATTAAACTGTCTACTTCATAAGGCTTTACAATGCTGTCTACTCCATAGTGCTTTATAAAGTACTCTGTTCTCAAAAAGCTGA